TGTCTCTTTCAGTCTCTGTCTGTGTCTGTCTCTCTCTCTCTGTCTCTGCCTCTCCTTTTCAGGATGTTTCTTAAAATTTACTTCTTTGATCAAGCTTTTGCATTCTGTCTGGATTTCTCCTTCACCATCCTTTCAAAAATGTCAATGTTTTTTGATAAATCTCTAGATCCTTGGAACATTATATTATCTTAAATTTGGCTGTTTATAAAAGGAGGAGGATGCTGGCTATCACATCAACTGTTCCCTTTATTTGTGGGGCCCCTTAACCAGCAAAATTGATTTTCAAACTTATTGTTATAATATTTATGTTCTTGCAATCATATAGAGGCTATTTTTCCCACTTTGAAAGAAGTTATTCAAGTGGTCCCAATGGCCATATCTCTTCCTGAAACCATGCAAATTGTTCCAGACTCTGACTCCCGTTCAATATGGTGACATTTTGTAATGTCACTGAAGTAGCAATCCAGGACCCCAGACTTAGAGACGGCTTTGAATCCCACCATCACAGTTGGTGGAATTTGAATTCAATGAAAGAAAATCTGGGGTGAAAAACTAGTCTAATCTTGACCAGGTGTTGATTGTTGTAAAAACCCATCACTTTTGCCCTTCAGGGAGGGAAATCTGCCACCCTTACCCTGTCTGACCTACATGTGACTCCAGGCACACAGCAAGTGCCTAGCAAGCCACTCGGTTCAAGAGAAATTAGACTTGGCCTAGCCTATCAAATCCTTTTTTTAAAAAATTGTTATCATAGAATCCCTACAGTGTAGAAGCAGGCCATTCAGCCCATTGAATCCACAGGGACTCTCTGAAGAACATCCTAGCCCAGGCCCTACTCTATCCCAGTAACCCTGTACTTCCAATGGCCAATCCACCTAGTCTGCACATCGTTGGACACTATGGGGCAATTTCTGGCCAATCCACCTAACCTGCACATCTTTGGACTGTGGGAGGAAACCCACGCAGACACGGGGAGAATGCGCAAACTCCACACAGACAGTTGCCCGAGGGTGGGATCAGACTTGGGTCCCTGGTGCTGTGAGGCAGCAGTGCTAATCACTGAGCCACTGTGCTGCCCTTAAATCCTACCATTGGGTCATGAGAAGAGAGAAACAGCATAAACTTGTATGTTCAGACTTTCCTGATAATTATACCTTCTCAGTCTACTACCATCCTCAAATATTTTATGTAGCTTCTCCAATGCCCCAACAGCTGTTTTTTTTTTACAGATATGGAGACTAGAACTGTACATAAGGCTCTAGATTTAGTTACAGTGTAGTTGTAAATATAATATTTCACCGCAGCTGTAGGGTATTCTACTCGAAGCTTTATTCATTTTGTTATTAACTTTTAAAATTCTATTCACATTTAGATGCCTTCCTGGATACCAAAATGAACGCTGTGGGATAAAGATATTGTATACTGGAACAACCAAGGAGCGGATTAATAGTCTCTCAGTTGTCTTGGTGGTAGCAGTGGGGATGCTACTTGTCTTTGTTGTAGCTGCTGTGACTATTGTAGCAACAATGCGGTGAGTATGGCTCGAGAGGATCATCTTGGGTGTCAGAAATTGTCTGTTGGCATCTATGGTTTCCATTGCTTATAATAATCGTTTTGGTGTCAATGCAATTACCCTACTATATGCCACAGCTGCTACAATGCCTTATTTCCATAATCAACAAAAATTTGTCTTCATTTAATGACCGTTTACCCAGTGGCACCAGCATTGAGCTATATCATACTCGTTTCAGTGTCCCTGGTACAAAATGTAACCAATTTAAGTGGCATGGTGGCACAGTGGTTAGCACTGCTGCCTCACAGCGCCAGGGACCCAGGTTCAATTCTACCCTCGGGTGACTGTCTGTGTGGGGTTTGCACATTCTCCCTGTGTCTGTGTGTGTTTCCTTCAGGTGCTCTAGTTTCCTCCCACAGTCCAAAGATGTGCAGGTTAGGGTGGATTGGCCATGCTAAATTACCCATAGTGTCCAGGCATGTGCAGGCTAGATGGGTTAACCATGTGGAGGGGGGGTTACCCATGCAGGGTTACAGGGATAGGGTAGGGGAATGGGGCTGGAGCTGGGGCTGGGTCGGGTATTCTCCAGAGGGGCTGTGTGTGGACTCGACAGACCAAATGGCCTGCCTTATGTTGTAGGGATTGTTTGAATTAGAGGGGCTTCACAAGATTTAGGCACACAAATTAATCTTCAATGAGGCACTATTTACTTGTACTCAATCAAGCTTAACTATGTGGTAACATGTGAGTGAACACAACTATTTCTTAATAATAGAGAGCATTGGAAACAATGCGGCAAGTGATAACTTTGAAACTGATGTTAATAGAATTGATTAATGGCTACTATCACTACATGGCTAATTATAACTAAATGCTCACTTTATACATGTAAAAGCAAAACACTGAGGATGCTGGAAATCTGAAACAAGCACAGAGAATGCTGGAGAAACTCAGCAGGTCTGGCAGGAACTGTGGAGAGAGTTAATGTTTCAGGTCTGGTGACTCTGCTTCAGAACAGTAAGGGCCTGGAAAGGAGCTGAGGCTAATAAGGCATGGCCAGGGGCGGGCGGAGTATGTAAGAGAAATGGAAGCCAGGGGTCATGGTCTGAAGTGATGGAACTCCATATTGGGTCCTACAGGCTGTAAAATTGCTAAGTGGAAAATGAGGTGTGGTTCCTCCAAGTGGTGTAGCCTATCACTGAGTCTGTTCTTTTGACTATTAACACCTTTTGATGCTGGCAAACTTTCTGCATATGAATATCTGAAGGAAATAAAACTTGCCTGGTTCACTACATATCAGATTATAGTTGGGAGGGAGGTTTAGTTGCAAACAATACAGTGACCAGTGTGTGACCAAGTATCTACATAAATACTCCATTTTTTAAAAGATCCATGTTATATTACACTCTACACGAACCTCGATTTCAGCCTATCAATGTACCTTCTCATTCCATTCTCTCTCGTGGGTTAAATACCTCTTTTGTATTCATCACTGCATTTATAGAAGCTAGGAGCAGGCTCTTCTGCCCTTTGAGCCTGCTTCCTCATTCAGTCTGATCCTCTATCTCAATGGTACATTCCTGTTTTCTCCCCATATGCCTTGATGCCCATAAAATCTACAAATGTCATAGAATCCCTACAGTGTGTTAGCAAGCCATTCGGCCCACACCACCCCTCCAAAGATCATCCTACCCAGACCGATCCCTGGGACCCTGTATTTCCCCATGGCTAACCCACCTAGCCTGCACATCCCTGGACACAGTAGGCAATTTAGCATGGCCAATACACCCTAACCTGCACATCTTTGGGCTGTGGATGGAAACCGGAGGAAACCCACAGAGACACGGGGAAAATGTGCGAACTCCACACAGACAGTCACCTGAAGGTGGAATCAAACCTGGTGCTGTGAGGCAGCAGTGCTAACCATTGAGCCACCAAATGTATCTATCTCTTTCTTGAATATACCCAGTGACTTCTAATTTCTAATAACATCTTTCTTTTTCAGAATTCGGAGAAAAATGCAGACAGAGCATGACATATTGAGTGAAGAGAAACAAAAACTGAGAACAGAGAATGGAAATGTAGTTTAAAAATGTAAGTTAAACTACTGTGCTTATTTAAATGAGAAATTAGACTTTGTGAGTTTCTTAACACTAGTTGAAAAGTGAATTATATCTGCATTTAGTTAATTTTAAATGGATTTGTCAAATCCACAAATTGACCTCTGTGGAATAGAATTTTTGAAATCAAATCACGCATTTACACTCTTGAGTTTAAACTTACTTTCAGATGTAGTCTGAAACTTCCAGACTTTCGAATTTCTTCATGATGAGTATCCTGGTTGAGAAATGTCAAGCTCTTGTGATATTTTTCTTTCAACATGTAAAACATTTCCCTGAATCTTTTCTCCTTGCTTTATTTTTAATGTCATTTTGAATGGAAAGTTTGGAAGTTGTCATGAGAAGGTAATTTAAAGGATCCCAGTTGGTTCCTCAAAAATGACCTGCAAAAACTGGCCAAGAAATGCATTGGAGATACTCCTGGGACATGGGTGCAAGATGGCTGTAGACACATATATTCCATTCTGTGTGCTATCTGCCATCTTGGTACTGCATTTAGTTCCTGAAATGGGTATTAGACCCCTTTGGACATGCCAGTAAAGTGTCCAAACTCTTTCAGAAATTATTCCAATATAGGGCTGTTGTTGGCCTGTTGCTTCTGAGCTCACACCAGAGCTGCTCACGAACTACCTACTGGTCTGTAGCAACTGCAGGATTCAGGATTCTCTAAATTAAGTTTTCATTTTTGAAAAGAAGTAACAATTCCCTGATGATTGAACTGGGAAATTCTGACTGCCCCTTGTCCTCAGGTTGAAATGATGAGCATGCGTTCTCTAACCTCAATCCATCCCCTTGCAGTTTTCTGGTACCTGGCTAATTTTCACCTTGCATTGCCTGGTTGTTAGCCTGAGAGGCCAGCTCTCCTGTCTGGGTGTGTCCATGATTGGAACATTCATTTCCAGGACACTGTGGTGAGCAAAACAAACCTCAGAAAATTTACAGGGGCAAGGAATTTCTTTTCTCATTGAACATTTCTGTCTCAGTTCCCAAAATATTGGAGATCAAGGGATTGGAAACATGTTTTAGAGATCACAGAATCATCCAATTGGTTAAAAATGTTTGGCTTTGGATTGACTGTGGGAAGGTGGGACATCATGATGATTGACATGTTGAGTGGCCAATGGTTGGAGTGTGTTGGCAGGGCATCAGGTCATGTGATTGATCGTCTGGGAATACGTGTGATCAGAGTTGGTAACATGAGCAATGTCTTGGGCAGGCCATGAGGGAAGACCATGGCAACTTTCCAATCAGGAGAGCAATCCTCACAGGCAGTCGAATGCCCTTTTGACTGGAAATAGGGATTTCCAAGAAAGGGGAATATTTATTTCCAGCAATCTCCTGATATATTCCCAAACCTGCTGGAGTTAACTCTCCACAGGAAGGAAAACCTGGAGGAACCCAACATTCTCAAAATAATTCCACTGTAGTCAACCTCAGTGAGGCTTCTTTGTGTCCAACTAGAGATGCAAAATGAATACAAAAATGACTAAATTCAGAGGGAAATGAGATAACACAGTGTGGAGCTGGAGGAACACAGCAGGCCAGGCAGGATCAGA